AGACCCTGAGCAGGCCTCACCTGTCTGGTTCTCGCCCACAGGTTTTCAAGAACCCCAAGTTCAGCCTGCTGACTGTCCGCAATGACATCACCCTGTTGAAGCTGGCCACGCCTGCCCGCTTCTCCCAGACTGTGTCTGCTGTGTGCCTGCCTGACGCTGATGACGATTTCCCTGCTGGGACACAGAGTGTCACCATTGTCTGGGGCAAGACCAGTCACATTAGTGACAAGCCAGTCTGGTTGGGAAATGAGGGCTGTGGGCTGTGGTGCTGACCACCATCCTGCCCACCAGACTGCAGCACTGTGCCTGGGGGCCACCAAGGCAACCAGGCTGCACAGTGGTGGCCCTGCCCTCCTCTCAAATTCCAACTGCACAGTCCTCAGCAGCAAGATCACCGCTGCCATGCAAGATCATCCCCTGCACAGTCCAGGCTCCTGGCTCTCCCCACACCCTCTCCTCCCCGATCCTGGGTGGGTTCACGCAAAAGCCAGGCCTTGGGTAGGGAGAGAGGAAACAGGAACACTAAATAGGTGTTTCTCCAGGACCCTTCCCTCTCTCCAGGGACATGTCAGCCATGAATAGGCAGGGAGACAGGACCCTTGGCTGATCACTGATGGCATCAGCAGAGGGTGCCAGGAAAGGGCTCTACTCTTAGAGTTGCCATTGGCATCCAAAGAACAACACTTCCTGAAGTTGTGCAGTATTCAGCCTGGACAGTGGGACATGGTGGCCCAGAAAGGCTCAGGCAGCCCTTGCCTGCTTACAGTGGCCCTATAGCCACCCCCACCCACACTTTCTTCACTAGTCAAACCAGCTTTACGAGCTTCTATTTTGGGACCTCACCCTGAGGGTGGCCCAGACTTCAGGGGCACAAACCACCCAAGGATCTGCTGACTCTTCCATTATCCATCTACCCAGTGAGCATGTGCTGAACATCTACTGGTGTCAGGCCCTGGACTGGCCTCTAGGAATAATGTCCAGGGGTCCCTGGGCCAGGCTGCCTGCACTGCCTGATCAAAGCCCCTTCTCCCTCTCCTATAGTCTGACTCTGGGGGGCCCCTGGTCTGCCAGAAGGATGGAGCCTGGACTCTGGTGGGCATCATGTCTTGGGGCAGCAGTACCCGCCCCACCTCCAGTATGCCTGTGTCACAGAGCTCATGTCCTGGGTGTAGCAGATCCTGACGGTCATCTGAATCCATGAACCAGCTCTGGCCTCCTCTTACCCTGCTCCCCACAAAGCTGAAATGCCTGGAGTGCATGTCAGTGCTGTCTGTCTCCCTGGGGGAACTCCAAGTCCTCACTTTGCTCCTGAACTTGGGCCTTCCCTGGTTTGGACTGGGCTGGGTCAGACCAGGGTTTTAAGAGGGTCCCTTGTTAGTCTTCTTCATTTGGGCTTCAGCTTCCCATGCGGTGGCCAGGAAGGACACAGGCAAATTAAATGGGGGTGAAAAGAGGGATGATGGAAGACAGGCATGCACCTGTAATCCCAGCAATTTGGGAGGCTGAGGCAGGAGGATTGTGAGTTTGAACCCAAAAGAAAAAAGAAAAAGGCATAGCCCGGGAGGATAGTGAGTTCAAAGCCAGCCTCAGCAAAAGCAAGGCACTAAGCAACTCTGTGGGACCCTGTCTCTAGATAAAATACAAAAAGGGGCTGGGGATATGGCTCAGCGGTCAACTGCCCCTGAGTTCAATCCCTGGAAAGAAAGAAAAGAAAGAAAGAAAGAGGAAAAAGGGAAGAAGGAAGATGGGATCTGGATGGGTGGAGCTGCTGGTCAACCTGCAAGGCCTTCTCCACTCCCGTCTCATGCCATCAGGACATTGGGGCCCTTACCTGTCAGAATGCTCAGAGACCCTCCCTGGGGAGCCAGCGGCTGGGGAACTGGCCTGTTCAGCCCCACCAGGGTGCCTCTTTCCCAGGCCTATGCTAGAGTCAGTGGCCTTATCAGCCCAAGGACCGTGATAAGGAGGGATGGCAAGGCAAGCTGTGATTGGTGGGCTCAGTAAATATAATGCCCCCTCCCCCGCCATACACCATCACAGGCCTCTGGCTGGTCCTCAGCCTCCCCTGAGGGTAGCAGCTGGTGAGTGGGAGGCCCAGGCAGCCTGGAAGCCCCCTCCCCCTCACACCTGCCTGCTGGGACCCAAACACCCAGAAGCAGGAAATGGGCTGTGGGGATGCAAGTCCTTCTACCACTGAGCACCCCCCCCCCTCTGTGGGGCACCAGGTTCCCCCTGGTGGCCAGTTGTGCCATCTTCTCATACCCTGCCAGGCACCTGCCCACTCCTCTGGGCACTCCTTCTCAGCCCCCCCTAGGTACTTTTGCTTGGCTCTATTGGGTCTCAGCTGTGCTTGGAGGAACCTCAACCTCAAGTAGACATATCTGGGTCCCCTCTCTTGTCTTGGTTTCATCCATCTATTCAGTCACCCACCCCAGAAGCCAGGGGTCACCTGGTTTGTTCATCTTCTAAATTTGTCTTCCAGCCCCTGGATTCTGCCACCCCAGCCATCCCACAGCCATCCCTCCAGCCCCCTGTGAGCTCCTTGGGCTCAGCCCTGTGGCCCTGTGGGCAGCGTCTTGGGTCTGTATCTCCAGACACCCAACCCATTCCTGCTGCAGACTCTCAGGGGAGGGTGACCAAGGCCTGTGTCCCAGAACTCTGAGCTCAGAGGGGAACAGAGCAGGTCAGAGCAGCTGCCCACTGTGGGGGTCTCTGAACCCAGCTTCCTAACTCTGATCCCCAACTTAATGCTTAATGCCCAGATTCTTGGGCCCCCTCTGCAAGGGCACCTGAAGGTGGCTGCCAGGCTAGGGGCGGGTGCCCTGCAGTGGTCAAAGCTCTAGATACAAGGTGCCAAGGAGTCCTGGAAGTGTCAGGTCTTTACCCTGGCCTGCTGGGCACACCATTCCTTGCCCTGTCCCCACCCTCCAGGCTTCAGAGTCTCCCCTCCTCCCCATGCTGAGGGGCCCGTCCAGGATCATCAATGGGAAGAATGCTGTCCCCAGCCCCTGGCCTTGGCAGGTGTCCCTTAGGTGAGAGGGCATTCTGGGCGTGTGGGGGTCACTCTGGGGTGCTGGCCACGCTAGGGGTGCAGCCCAGGTGGGAGTAGTGACCTTTACCTTCTTCTTCCCCAGGACAGCACTGGCTTCCACTTCTGCAGGGTTCCCTCATCAGCGAGAACTGGGTGGTCACTGTTGCCCACTGTGTGGTCAGGTAGGTCTTAAGCTCAGGAAATTGGGGTCCCCAGTGCCAGAGGACCCTCATCCCTCTCAACCTCAACCAAGCACTGCACTCAGAAGCAAAAGGGTCTGAGCAAAACCTCCTATAAATCAGCTGCAACCTGCAGAGACAGCCACCCCAGTGCTGCCACTCCACCTCCTAAGACCTGCCCCCAGGCCACCTGGATTGCAGCATGGGGAATCCTGGACGGTCAGTCCTGTGACTTCATTGTGCAAACAGGGAAAACAAGACCCAAAACAAGAGCGGGATGCACTGAGGCCCTATGAGATTCAGTGGCTCAGCCAGGGTGCAGCCTACAGGGAACACTTCCTTGCCCTCTGAGGTGTCAGCCATGAGCCCTTGTATGGGCTGCCACCTCTCCTCTCCCCAAGAAGGGACACTGCATGGTAGCCAGGGCATCTGGCTTGCCTCTGAATAGGAGCCCCTTCAGGCTGAGGTGGCTGAGGTAGTCAGGAGATGGACTGGTGTGACAGCAGGCTCTGGGAGTGAGACCTCCTGGGGAATGGGCAAAGCCCCTGGCCAGTGCCCTTGGCCCTTCAGGGCCCACCAGCAACTCTCCCCTGATGTCTTCTCTTTCCCACGCATACCTTCTGCTTCTGAAACGTTTGCGAGGCTGGGATGTGGCTCAGGGCTGGAGCATTGCCTGGCATGAGCGAGGCCTGGGCTCGTCCCTAGCACTGTAACTAATGAATACGTTTTTCTCATTGGTTTCTTATGGTGCTGGGGCTTGAACCCAGGATCTTGGGGATGCTCGGCAAGTGCTCTACTGTTGATATACACCCCTAGCCCTTGTGCATTGTTGAAAAACATGAAAATAAAAAATTGAACAACCCTGAATGTCATTTCTCCCTGGGTCTCCACAGCTTCCTCTGCTCCATTGTTGTTCCTATTCCACCTGCTCTGAGCCCACTTTGTCTCCCAGCCCAGTATCCTCAGAATTCTCCCCTGTCCTCCACTCAGAGGTCCACCCAGGCCCCACCCTGGTCCCAAGAGTGTTTGAGCACACCCTAGGGGACCTGTGTGCTGTTCTCCTCAACAATACCCTGCCAAGGTTTCCTGCCCTCCTCTCAAGCCTGGGTTCCTGCCTGCCGGCCCAGCTCCAAGGCCAGCTTCCTTGCAGGCTGTCAGGGGTCACAGTGGCTGCAGGAACACCTAGCACAAGCCTGTGTTCCTACAGGGGCTTTTTAGGGAGATGCAATTTAGATTCTGGTCAAAATTCCAAGAACACTTCTGAATTGTAGCAGTCATAAATCATTCCATTTCTTTCAAATCCTCTAAATTAAAAATCCACCAAACACAAAATGAAAATGAGAGTTAATAACAGAGCCTGAAGCAAACTCCAAGCATAAGCAGGCCTGTGAGGCTCTTCAGGGCCAGGCAGGGAGAGTACGGTTCCCCTGCATCATGACTGGGAGTCCAATGGACAGTTCTGGTCCAGTACTCTGGGAGGGTGGCCCTGGCTCACCTTCCTCACCAGTCCTTCCTACAGTCCATGGCCTGATTTTCTTCCTCTAGAACACCTGGTTCTGCCTTCCAGGCCCAAGCCCAACCCTGCTGGGCCCAGGGTTCTCGCCTATCACTGACAGAATCAGCCAGGAAGGGGAAGAGGGAGGTGCTACCTGGTCCCGATGTCTTCATCAGAGAAAGACCAACTCTTCCATGGGAAGAAAGAAGGGGCCCTCACACTGCCTGTCCACAGCAGCTTAAGGGCTGAGGTGCCCAGAGGTGGGCAGGGCATGGCTGGTCTGCACTCTGTTGAAGCTCTGCCTGGGGTGGGATTTGACAGGTGCTATGCCCACAGCTGATTTTATTAAGGTTCAGGGCGCTTCCTGGATGCCCCTCCATGAGGCCTGGGTGGGTCAAGGGGCCCTGTCTGTTGCCTCCTCTCTCTGCAGCCAAAGACCCCCAACAAGCTATAGCAGGTGGCTCTGCCCCTTGTGGCCACTGCCAAATGTGAAAGTCCTGGGGCAGCAAGATCACTGATGTGATGATCTGTGCTGGGGCCACTTGGTGCTGTTCACTCGCTGACAGAGCCCAGATCTGGTCAGGCCAGGAGGGCCACAGCTCTCCTCTCTCCCCAGAGGCCTGAGCTGCCCACTCCCCTCTGCGCTTCTCTGCTTACCCTCACCTTCCCCAGTGCTCACCAGAAGGCCAGACTGATGCTAAAAGATGCCCAGAGGGTCCCCTGGCCAGGCCTGGTGCTGTGCTGCCCACAGGAATCCAGTCCCTACTTGGGCTCTGTGAGCTGGAGGAGCCAGCTGGCTTCAGACAATGGCCAGGCTCCTCCAGGAGCAGAGCTGGACTGCCACCAGTCCAGATGTGCGCAGTTTGGTCATGATCACTGTGCCCACAAAAGTCGTTTCCCTGCCTGCTCCCTGGATTCCAGTGGGCCAGGCACCCCCATCAGGCTTGGAGACAGGTCCTGTCTCTTCTACAGAGTGACTCTGGGTGCCCTCTGGTCTGCTAGAAGAAGGGAGCCTAGACCTTGGTGGACACTGTGTCCTGGGGCAACTGCACGTGCCTGTGTCACTGAGATCATGCCTTGGTTCTGAGAGGTTCTGGAAGGTAGCCAAGCCTCCTCCTACCCCAACATGCATAATCCGCTCTCCCTCAAACCCTACCAGGAGCAGCTGCCTGCACCTTTGTTGCCCCCACCTAATTTGCTAGGGGTTGCTGGGTGTAGGTGGCCCCCCTGTGGAGCCAAGAACCAAGGAGGTTGGCAGATCACCCGGCCTTACCCACTTCTGTACAGACAGAGCCAAATTCTTATGCAGAATGGCCAGAGCTGGGGGCAACAGCAGGAGTACCTGGCACACCCTTGAACCCCCACGGGCCACAGGTGCTGGTGGAAGCCTGGGGAGGGCAAGGGCCTGCTCTGGGCCTCTACCCTCCCAACTTGGAGAACCAGTTCACGTTTGATTCACATAGTACACTTTGGGAATCCCACAAACTGAAATGAGTTTCCCTATAAGAACACAGTTTTGGCTGGGCACTGTGGCGCATGCCTGTAATCCCAGCAGCTTAGGAGGTTGAGGCAGGAGGATTTCGAGTTCAAAGCCAGCCTTAGCAAAAGTGAGGTGCTAAGCAACTCAGTGGGACCCTGTATCTAAATAAAATACAAAGTAGGACTGGGGATATGGCTCAGTGGTCAAGTGCCCCCGAGTTCAATCCCGGGTAACCACTCTCCCCCTCCCCGCAAAAGAAGTTTTAGATAAATTCTGTGAAAATCAATTTCTTGGTGTGCACAACCAATGTCCTCCAGCAGTGTCCTTGCTCCATGGGACCCAGCAGGGCTTATCTTCTTCCTGGAGCTGCTTTCTGGCAGCAGGGGCTGGCTGCTGGTGTGTGGACACGCACTCTCTGGAATGGCCTTCACCATATGCCAGGGGACCACACAGCTGCCGCCTTGATGGGCTGTGCTCACACTGAGACTTCTGGGCCTCAGGCCCTGAATCCAGTGGCAGGCTGTGCCCAGCCCTCTCCCCATCCCGTCCAGTACCTGAGGCTTCATCTCCCTGGTCCAGGCCGGCCCTACTTGTGAGGGCCCTGGTTTTCTTCTAAGGGAACCCACTTTTCCTTCACCCTCCTGAGAGGCCACCCAGTCCTCTTCTCTTACATCACTCCCCCTTAAATCTGCCATTCACACTCCGCAGCATCTGAGGGCTCAGGGCCCATCTGCCTCTGAGCCACCAGCCCTGGCTCTACCCTCACACTCCTTAGGCAGCTGCTTTTCATTTTCAAAATTTTATTAAATGTAGACTATTAGTCAAATGATTGGAAAATCAATAATGAAAAATAGTTCTTTCAGGTTTTCTCCCACAGAGAAGGAATACGCCACTGCTGCACTTACCCGTCTCGGGGACAAGGTTAGGCCAAGGGCCACAGGAAGCCCAGGGGACTGGAACATATGGGCCTCCACCCTGGCCCTCTGTGGCCACCCTCCTGGTCCTATAGCTGTCTCAGGGACAGCACCAGCTGGCTCCTTGGCCCTGGCTCCTCTGAGGTGCCATCCCACCATCCTGCCCTGTCATAAATATGTACAAATCCCTGGACAGTAGAGGGCACTGGGCCCGAGGCAAAGCTGGGGTTCCCTGTCTCCAAGCCTGTGGGGCATCCACTCTCAGGATGGCTGCCTGGGGTAGATTGGGCCATTGCTGCCGCCTCCCCTGCCTCCACACCCTTGTCATCTGCTCTCAGGCAGTGGCCAGCTGGCCTAAGACCCGGCGGAACTGTTGGGTACTGTGGCCCAACTCCTTGACCCTGTCCACCATGTCCTGGGCAGCAGAGGGTGATGGGTACTGTAGGGCAGCAGCCTTGGTGGTGGCCACAATACCACGCAGAAGATCGCACAGCAGGTTGCTATAGTGGGTAACCTGGCTGCGTACGTCAGCTGCCTTGGCCTGCCGTGACAGCGTGTCCCCAATAAACACTAGCTTGTGGGCGCTGAGGATGACAAACTTGCTATGCGCCACGAAGATCTTGGGCGGCTGGTTGGTGGCCACAGCGGTGAAGAAGGCTTCCACTGCGTCGGTCAGCGTGGTCAGGTTGGCTTCACACTGCTCGAGGTAGAAGAGCAGCAGTTGCCGGTCTGAGGGCCCTAGGCCACCTGTGCGCCCTGGTGCCAAGGGCTGGGCCGGCGTCCAGTTGGCCAGGTCATGGTCTATGGGGCGTGATACCTCCTGCTCCAGGCGCTCAAACTGCTTCAGCTGGGGAGGTGGGGGAGCAGGACAAAGGTGAGGCTCTCAGATAGACATGTGCACCACTGTTCACAAAACTAAAACTAGGGACAACCAAAGTATCCAGGAACAGGATTAGAACAGAACATGCTGGAGGCAGGAGCGGGGGCGCTCGTCTGCTACTCCAGTCACACGAGAAGCTGAGGCAGCAGGTTGGAGGATAGCCTTGGCCACTCGGACCCTGCCTCAAAACACAATTTTTTGTTAAATTTTATTTTTTAGTTATAATTGGACACAACACCTTTATTTTATTTATCTACTTTTATGTGGTGCTGAGGATTGAACCAAGGACCTCAGAACACGCTAGGCAAGCACTCTACCACTGAGCCATAACCCCAGCCCCCTCAAAACACAATTTTGAACACGGGCTGGAGATGTGATTAGTAGAAAAGCACCCTTAGTTTCAATTCCCAGTACTGGTGGGGGGATCCCATGATGCAAGAGTACAGGAGGAGGATAAAGTAGGTGGCTATTTCTTAAAACAATGTAGATTCCAGGGACTGGTGTGTAGCTCAGTGGTGAGCACTTGCCTGGCACGTGTGAGGCACTGGGTTTGATCCTCAGCACATTAAAAAAAATATTCATAAAATATTTAAAAATGTCACAGATATATGATTTTTTCAAATATGGATATCTATATTTGGTTTCAATTATTAATGCTCCTCTTCCTAAGTATCTTCTTCGTGCCAGGCACTCCTCAATCATTTCACATTCCACGTGCCCCAGTTGACAGTGTGGAAGCCATGTGGCCAGGGCTTAGGGTGGCACAGGCTCTCTCCTCTGCCTGGCTCCGTACCTTGATGGGTAATGTCATTGTCTTTATTTTGTGCTATTCTATATTTTAACTCTTTTAATTATCTTCACAGTTGGAAATAAATCCTCTTAGCATTTTTTTTTTTTTAGTTGTTTGTATA